GGAAGCGCATTACGAATGGACTAGTCCATTTTTTCGTAGAATTAACGTACGATCTCTGTAGACGGTATTGGCATATGCATTCTTCGATATCAACTTCAATGATCGTGCCATTGCATGAGTAGCCTCTCAGACGTGATTAAAACAGTTAATGACGTTTAGCACGTTGTTGCATTGAGAATCGATCGCATGCTGGCGTCGCGAAAGCGAAAGCGTTTGGTCAAAACGAGATGCTTGTAATGAAGAATCTCATACAGCACGCATATCTAAAAGACATCTTTCTAATAAAATAATTTATATACACAATTCCCTTATAGCATTTTCTCGTCAAATTACGCGTGATATTCATCTCGACGAATCACCGTAAAAATCAATAATACGATTGCGGATCGCGACGATTACTTAAACGCGATTGATAAACGTTAATATCTCTCGTACGAGACGACCGAGATTCTCGTAGGAGATGAAATATCCGCCTCGCTCGACTAAACCGCCGAATGATAGACTGTTTTCGACCGAGGTGTTCACGGCGATACGCCATTTCGTGGAACCAGCGCTCGGTTTTTTGACCGAGTTGTTTACGGCGCTCGGTCTATCGCGCTACGTCATTTCTTGGAATCGACGCTCGGTCTACGGCGCTCGGCGAAACACGGTCACGCCGTACGCAGCCCATACAGCGCAAAAAGTTAAAATAATGTTACTGAAACGTTGCAATGTTGAAGTATAAATATATTTTTTACGTTGAATCTAGGTTAAAGGCCTTCACACACAAAATTCCGTAAGGACGTAAAACGTAAGCGTAAGAAAATCAACAGATCGGATTTGCTACTGCTTGCGTTATTGCCTTACGTTCTCGACTGTGATTGGTCGATTTTTTTATGCTTACGTTTTACGTCCTTACGAAATTTTATGTGTGAAGGCCTTTATGTTTGCACATTGATTCTTTATGTTGCTGCAACGTTAAAACAATCTTGAATAAATTATTATTTTCTGACACTCAAGTAGACACTTAAAAATGTATAATTCTCAAATGTACACAGTTGAAAAATTTGTATTAAATTTAACAGACATCACATGTCCCAAACGGTCCACACAAATTTTTGTGTTACTTTAACAGAATATGGATATGTTAAATGATCACACTAATACTCTGTTAACATTTTAACGCAAAATAAAAGCAAATCTCATTTGAAATAAATTCTGCGTAAACTGCGCGCCGCAGCGGGAGAGTTCTATGACACGGGTATACAAAAAATGCTACACCGCATGCAAAAATGCATCGATCGCAACGGGGATTATGTAGAAAAATAGTAGAGTGTCCAGGCTCTCCAACGATGTAAGATTCATTGCAAATAAACGTGTTTTTCTTTGTGAAAAAAAATCGGAGACCTTATCTTACAATGACAACCCTCGTACATTCTTTTACTTTTATTATTAATAAATCGTAAGAGAGAATTGATACTTTGCACAAATGAACGCGTCCAGTATTACATTTAAGATGTATGACTCTCTTTCTGGATGTCACGTTTCGATTTTTACGCTTTCGTCGATATATTTCGCATTTTACAGACTCTACATATCGTTTTATTGAGATCAAGATTGCATTCTCGATTAAAATCGAGACTATATCAGGTGACGTTGCTGTACACATTAACATGCACATGTCGGATATTAACAGATTTTCTTTCCGCCATTAATATCTTTATTTTCGATGGCGTGGCTAAAGCCGACGGTACGCGATACGATTTTTCCCCACTGGATTACTTACAAGAGCCAATCGGGATTCAGCTTTGAGTCACCTGATCGAAAACTGTGCATCCTGATTGGCTCTCGTAAGCAATCCAGTAGGAAAAATAGTATCGTGTGCCGTTGGCTTAACACGGTTACAGGCCTTCACACACAAAATTCCGTAAGGACGTAAAACGTAAGCGTAAGAAAATCGGCCAATCACAGTCGAGAACGTAAGGCAATAACGCAAGCAGTAGCAAATCCAATCTGTTGATTTTCTTACGCTTACGTTTTACGTCCTTACGGAATTTTGTGTGTGAAGGCCTTAAAGTCCAGTAAGTAAGCGCGACTTAAATTTACTGCCGGATACGCGATTATACACGCTGCTGAAAGTCAACGCGCCACTGGCTGAAACTTCCGCTTTAAAAATCGGAAGGCGCCTCGCGATCTGTCATCTCTGTGCTCTCGCCCGCCTCGTCGCGATTGGTCGAGTCCGAATTTTCCAACGCGCGATCGCAGTTTCCGATCTAACGCGGAGGAGTTTAGCCACGGCAGCCGGCGGAGCCGGGGGAGTCGACGCGGCCGTCTCGCTTCGCGTTATCAATCTCGTTTCCCGCGGAAGAGAGCCGTCCTTGCGTCCCCCTGGAAAAGAAGTCGCGCGGCGGCGGCGCGCCAAGGATCCGACGCGAGGCCCCCGGGGGAGGCTGATAGAGAAGAGCGAAATGGAAAAAGGTGTACCGTTCTCCGGTCAGAGAGAGGTAAACGAGCGGGTGGCGCGACGCAGTTCGGAACGGCGCGGAGTGGGGCGGCGCGCGCATCCCCGCCACCGCGGCCCCACGGCTGCGCGGCGCGCCGTCGCGCCGCGATCTTCACTTGTCCGCGGGACGCCGCAGCGGCAGGTACGTTGGTCGCGCGCTCGCGCACTCCGCCCGTCTCCTCTCGCCGCCCTCGACCGCCCGTGTCGTGCGATGTAAACACGGCTCGCGTTCGGCAGGTGGTCGCAGCTGCGAAACGCCGCGCGCGGCACCGCGTGCCTCGAGAACGCGGAAGAAACGTCCGCGTCGCGGGCAGAGCGTCTCGCATTCGGCGGTCGACAGTGATATCGTGACAGTGCGTGACATCCGGCCGTTCGCGCGCGCAGTGCATCATTCATTCTTCCCGTCGGCGGGACGGTGCCAGTGATCTCTCCCGCGTGCTCGCCGCCCGCGGACGACTGGGTTTCGCGAGAGTCCGAGCGTCGCATCGAGGAGTCGCCGTCTTCCTTCCTGGACACACTTGGCCTCCACCCCCCCCTCGCCCGCCTGAGACAGCAGCCCCCGGCGGCGACGACAGCGTCGTGGGAAAAGGGACGACGCCGCGGATCTATCGGTGAGTGAATTGTCACAGTTTTGCATCCTTCGCCGACGCTGCTCCCGACGCGTTCGGCGAATTTCACGCTGACGGGGGATTCAATCCCGTCGAATTGAAGTGGAAAAACGAAACGCCAATTGCGAACACTGACGTCTGTCTCCGTGTCGGTCGCGCTCGGCGTTCGTAAAAGGGAGCGGAGAAAGTTCCGGCTGGTTAGAATTTTGTTTGCTTTTGTTCGTCCTGAAAATTTCAGTTGTACAATTTATCGTAGGAAAACGGAAACTTGAGCGTAAAATTGGACGTTCGCTATTGTCGTTGACACTCGTTGGTTGAAATTAATTTCAACTCCCCCCCCCCCCCCGCCCGTAAAAATGGCCGTATCTCGGATTGGAGACACGCGCGCGGCACGTAGGCGCGCTTCTAAATAACGAAAGGATTGAAACCTTAAAAGCAACGGGAGTGAATTATGCGGCGCGCCGCGCGTTCGCGGGCCCGCGTGAATGCATGAGTAATGCGTATTGAAATAACGCGATACACAATTAGCATGCTATGCCACACGCGCGGCATTTACCCGGAATAATTTCAATAGACAAATTGTCGGGTTATTCGAGCGCGCGTCACGATACACTTCGCCGCGGTGATTAATTCTCGCGGCGCGGTGGACGCGCCGATTTTTATTACCGCGCGCGTCAAAACGACAGGACAGGCAGGCATTAATATTAATGCGCGAGGCGCTCCTCTATTTATCTGCGGCCGCAAACACGACTATTATTCACAAACTCGCGCCGTCGATATTATTTTGCAAAAAGGAAAAGCGCACTTGGAATTTCTCAAAGGCTCCGGCGGCCTTGGGACGTAACACGGTTAATCTCGAAAGCGACTTGACCCGCGTGTCCGTACGGTAAAAACGTTCGATTTAAAGGCCCCGATTCGACGCACTTTCTCGAAGAGATCGAACTCGGGAGGATCGATATCGTTAAACCTAGGTCGGCGCCCCCGGAGTCCCCTGGCCGCCAACGGCGAAAAGGAGGTCGCGATTAATTTCGTCGTGAAAATTGCGGCATTCGCACGTGGGCACGCGCGCCCGCTCGGTGACACGGCGCGGCGGAGTTGCACGCCCTATTTCCATTCGTACCTTCGCCGCGTATACGCGTGTCGCCGCGCACGTGTGCCGTACCTGTGTGAGAACGCAGGTGGTATCTACGCGTACGGTACGCACGTCCCGGGTTTCCGATTAGTTTTCGACTATCTCGCGCGACGAAACGCCGCGACACGTTCTCCCGTGACTAGTCGGGTTAATATCCATCGGAGATACGTCGTTGTCGTGGAATTTTTAGAGGGAACGTGGACGCGGAAGGTCCATTACATTTTGGGCGATGCTCGGCAGCGCCTGTGGTGTGCGGTTCTGCTCTCAATATAACGCCGTTAGGAGTTTCAGAATTGCATTTGGCCGTGAATTAGGGGACTTGTCCGAATTATTCCGTTTTTCCAGGGCTGGAAAGTAACACGTTATTTGTAACGAAGTTACTTTTTTTGGTAACTCTAACTTCGTTACTTTCTTCTCACCTGTAACTGTAACTTAACTCAGTTACATTAAGAGTTACTTTACATATATTTTAAACCTCCGCAGATCGCAATAGCGTTATTTGCCTTGCATTTGCGCATAAACACCTTTATCGACACTTTACGATTCAAATGCAGATTTGATATTTTTATTTTCAAACCAAATTTATAAGATATTCTACCGCCAGCAAATATTATAATAAATAAGATGAATAATTGGACACCACTGGCAACAGGAAAACTTCCTTTATTCGCACAACGTTTCGGTTATGGGTTTTAGCCCTTGTCGAGTGTAAACTAATTTTTATTTTCATTGCAAGAAAGTAACTGCAAAGTAACGATTTATTATTTTTTTAGTAACTGTAACTGTAACGCGTTACTTTTCAGAATTGGTAACTTGTAACTGCAACTAGTTACATTTTTAGCAAAAAAAAACTGTAACTGTAACTAGATCATTTTATAAAGTACCTTTCCCAACTCTACGTTTTTTTCTACACTGACAAAAAAATTTTTTAACTAAGTAAATAGATTTACTGAAAGTTATTTTTTTACTGAAGTAAATATTTATTCTATTTACATAAAAATGTCAAATATATTAAGTAAATTAATTTAAATCAGTACATTTTCTACATTCAAATAAAGATTTCATGAGATATAGAATACTATTTATTAAATAAAATAATTGTTTTTGTTAAATAAGAAATCCAATTTTCTTCGCTGTGCAAATTACATCTTAGTAAGCATTTTATAGAATTAAAATAACATTTTTTTAATTTAAAATGATCTATTCTGTGATATTTAATAAATGCTTAAATTAAAGCAATGCATGTTTTAATTTGTTTATTATTTTTGAAGTTTAAGTTAATGAGCTATTAGGAGCCATCTAATGAATAATCTTCTTGAGTAGTAAAGTAATATATTTTTTGATCAGTGTAGAAACACGGTAGGAGTAGACATTTAAGAAACAATAATAACTAAGCACTTCCGATCGGAATCCGTTCCAAAAGTCCCGTCATATGTGCTCTGTTTAGACGTCGCGTTTCAAAAAACTTGGCGTCGTTCGTAAACCTTAATTGCACGTAATCGTCGAGGGTGACGAACCATCGTGTATTTTTAAATCGCACCATTCGGAGAGGAGGAGGCTCGAGAAAGCGAAAGGGTGACGAAAGGGAGGAATGGAGCGTAAGCGAAGAGGAAAAGAGGTACGGCGAGTCTCTCGCGATCCGCTGCCGAGCCATCGATCGTTTCGCAGTGACTATAAATCCCGAAACGGCGGATCGGCGGCCCATCGGGGGCCGCGTTTAGTTACGGCCGCGCTCGTTACTTGCCAAGCCCGAGTGCCGTCTTGTACGCACGTGCGTCTCGCACGACACACGCACACGCGGCGATATTGCGCGTGTCGTACGCACGGTTGGGAGAAATTTCGTTTTCATCGTGCGCGATCCAGATTTTTCAGCGCCAAGAGTTGTTGTTGTTTACTTGTAATAATTGCCAGCTGCAGGTGCTGAACCTGTGCGAGAGAAGCGGTTATTGCGGCCGTGCCGCATTACGGGAACGCGCGGCTGATTATCCTCGTGATTTATAGGCCTTAAACGTGGGAAAGCCGCCGCTTTTTGCGCGTTACGTTCTAAATTTTTAACTCATTTAGGCTAACGATCGATTTAACCCCGAAAACGATATTACGACGTTCGGGACACGCAGCTATCGTTGGAGATTATTTCCGAGGTCGGTGAAACGTTTCTCTCTTTTCGTAGCTCATCTTGAAACGTGTTCCTATTTAATCCGCTAATAATGGCGGAAACTCTTTTATCGAATACCATTAACGGAAACTCTTCTATCGTCTATTACGATGGCAACTTTGTCGGCTGGCGAAAAGTTCTCTAAAAATATCTTGGAAAGTTTTTGTGTCTTGTCTTATTGTAACTGGAGGTCGAAAGCGGAGCATGAAAGGTTTGCAGTTTAAAGGTTTGCTCGAGAAGAATCGGCGATAATTAATTCAAAATACAGAAACCACGAGTTACGTACATTTACGCGAATGTTCTCAAAACTGTTCCAGTCGAGATAAAATTATCCGTGACGGAACCTCATGTCGAGTACGGTGGAATTATTTTGTACATCTGATCGAGTCCCACCGTGTCTTGTTTTCCACTCGGCGTGAAAAAGACGGGCGCAGATCGCGACGGATATTTCCAGGTAAAAAGAATAGTCGCGCGCGGCGGGCGAGAGCCTAAGGCGAAACAATGCCGACGGAGATGAGCGCATCTTTCCGCTTGCAGCCAAACACAATGCGCGATTTTTACGAGCACCGGTCGGTGGAGGAGATGTTATGGCTTTCGCGGGGTATAACCGAATGAGAAGTGGCCGGACGCGGACAGCTGAAAAATTTTCGCACGACTACATCTCCGCGCGAGATTCCCCTGCACCGCGGCTCGCCTATAAACGCCCGTATTCCTGCCGCGTCTCCGGAATGTCGTTTCCCTCCCGTCGCCGCATCCTGCGAGTTTTCCCGCTCCACATTCATTTCCCCGCGCGTGTCACTCGCCAATAAACTAATAGCCAATTCGGTTGCTTGCACCAGCGCGCACTGAGTGCACACTAAGGCTTGTTTATACACAGAGAAAAAGGTTTCTTTGGATTTAGTATTCTTATTTATTTGATCGAGATTTGTTTCACTGAAACAACATGTGCTTATACGAAACATTATTTGTTTGAATCAAAATTTAGTTGTTTCATTTAAACAATGTCTATTATTTGATAGAAAAAATACTATTATTTCAAGTAATATCTATCAATTAAATAATTGTATTATATGGCCAAGCGCCTCTAAAGTTCAGTGCTGCCACTAGATGGCTGCCGAACTCGTAAGTAAAATCACGGCGGTCAGACAGAAAGCGATCCGCATCGGCAGACGCAGTCTGATCATCTAAGTAATAGTCTATTCTTTATAGTTGATCATAGTGTACTAATTCAGTGTTTATTTTTCTTCTTCTATATGAAGAGAAAATTATACTGTAGAGGGAAAAAGATGTATGTACATTTTTTCACATATTTTTTATCAAAGGATAATGTTGCTTGAATAAAACAGTAACATCATTTAGAATCTAAATTTTAGATGATAGAGAATATACCTTTTGTTTCAAACAAATATCAAATTTTTGTTTGGATACAACAAAATTTATTAAATCCAAAGAAATTGTTTTCTACGAACGGAGAGTTTGCTTATTGTCACCAGTAATGATTAAAAATTGAGACGGGAAACTTGTAGTCAACCCAACTGGCTAATTATTTAATTGATTTATTACACAACGTTTCGACCCTATTCTTTTGGGTCCTTTTCGAGTGATACTGCAAAAACAACGCAGTTATGAACAATGTAGGTTAATACATAAGGATTTAGTTAAATAGTTAAAAGTTCAGTAACGCACCTAAGTCAATCATCGTCGTCAAATAAGACA